TCTCTCTCTCTTTTTCCCTGCCTCTCTCTCTCTCTCTTTTTCCCTGCCTCTCTCTCTCTCTCTCTTTTTCCCTGCCTCTCTCTCTCTCTCTTTTTCTCCCTGCCTCTCTCTCTCTCTCTTTTTCCCTGCCTCTCTCTCTCTCTCTTTTTCCCTGCCTCTCTCTCTCTCTCTCTCTTTCCCTGCCTCTCTCTCTCTCTCTTTTTCCCTGCCTCTCTCTCTCTCTCTTTTTCCCTGCCTCTCTCTCTCTCTCTTTTTCCCTGCCTCTCTATCTCTCTCTCTTTTTCCCTGCCTCTCTCTCTCTCTCTCTTTTTCCCTCTCTCTCTCTCACTCTTTCCCTCTCTCTCTTTCACTCTTTCCCTCTCGCTCTATCCCTCTCTATCTCTCCCGTGTCCCCTGTCTACTGTCTACTCTCCTCAACTCTTTCTTCTCCTTCCTATTCTCCTCCCCCTATCTACCCACATCTCCCTCCAACTCTCCTGCTCCTCTTCCCTCCTCTTCCCTCCTCTTCCCTCCTCTTCCCTCCTCTTCCCTCCTCTTCCCTTCCCTTCCCTTCCCTTCCCTTCCCTTCCCTTCCCTTCCCTTCCCTTCCCTTCCCTTCCCTTCCCTTCTCTTCCCTTCTCTTCCCTTCTCTTCCCTTCTCTTCCCTTCTCTTCCCTTCTCTTCCCTTCTCTTCCCTTCTCTTCCCTTCTCCTCCCTTCTCTTCCCTTCTCTTCCCTTCTCCTTCCCTTCTCTTCTCTTCTCTTCCCTTCTCTTCCCTTCTCTTCCCTTCTCTTCCCTTCCCTTCCCTTCCCTTCCCTTCTCTTCCCTTCTCTTCCCTTCTCTTCTTCCCTTCTCTTCTTCCCTTCTCTTCTTCCCTTCTCTCTTCCCCCCGCCCTCCTCACTCTCCTCTTAATCATCATAATCACCGTCTTATCTCTATCGTAATCCTTTACCCGCTGTCTCATCATCATTTCCCTCTCAATCCTTGGCAACATATTAGCGCCTTGAACTATGTCCTAAAGCACCGCCTTCGCATGCACCCGCCCACTCATATCATGTGTCCGGGTCGCCAGTCCGCGCCCACGTACGAGTAGTACTGGTCCTGTCGCCGCCATAGTCGCTATACTGTACGCCCACGCCCACACCCGACAGGCTACTACGTACTACAACTCTGTATGCCAAGGTCGCCAATGAGACCCCCCCACACACACACAAAAAAAAATGCTTGTCGGTACAGCCTCTTAAAAGAGTAGCCTTGCCCCTAACCCCGAAAAAGTAAAATGAGAGAAATAATATTAACGATAGGAACACCGATAATAGTAAATCCTTGGGAATCAGTCCCTTTAAAAATAAAGCATAACTGTGGTTAACGCCTATCATTCGCGGCAGCCGTACCGAAACGCCCAACGTTACGACCTAATTCGTTTTCGTTTCAACCATCGCAAAGACTACGTGACCATACTTACAAACGCAGGCAGCGCTCTCACAAAAAAATAAGATCAAAGTACACACTGCATTTATGTTAATGTTAACTTATTCAAATGTTTTTATCATGACAATACAATATATCCTAATTCAAAACTCTACAGTAAGATGTCCTTCGGGATAAAATATAGCAGATTTCTTTAAATAAGTTTTTTTGTTTTGTTTTGTTTTTCGAAAGCACACAAAACAAAAATCTAATAAGTAAAATACCATTCAAAGTACCAAATCTTATGACAGTATCACAAACTTACACATATTAAGCAAGCATTAAGAAAGTTAAATGTCTAAGTTACCCCTCCAAAGCATTACAAATCTCTTACAGAAAACGACCTTTCTGAGACCGTGGACTTACAAATAAAAATGGGACTTTGGCTTTTATCATTTGGCCATTAATAATACTTTACATTCAACCGTAAAATTTGTGCGAGAGTGTTTAAGTGAATTCCCGAATGTCGTGCATTATGTCAGTAACTCTATGTTTGAGTGAAAATTGTGTGTGTTCGCGTGTGCACGTGTAAATGTTTGTTCGCGTGTGTACGTGTAAATGTTTGTTCGCATGTGTACGTGTACTTGTAACATGTAAGTGTATACGTGTACTTGTAACATGTAAGTGTATACGTGTACTTGTAACATGCAAGTGTATACATGTACTTGTAACATGCAAGTGTATACATGTACTTGTAACATGCAAGTGTATACATGTACTTGTAACATGCAAGTGTATACATGTACTTGTAACATGCAAGTGTATACATGTACTTGTAACATGCAAGTGTATACAAGTACTTGTAACATGCAAGTGTATACATGTACTTGTAACATGCAAGTGAATACATGTACTTGTAACATGCAAGTGTACACAAGTACTTGTAACACGAAAGTGTAACATGTGCTTGCAGCATGCAGGTGTAAAATGTAACATCTGTGTGTATGTATAACATTTATTAGCATGTCAAGTTATAATATATATATGTATGTCAAACATGTACATGTATTGTAACATGTACATGTGTGATTGACGTATACATGAATGTGTGAAAATATGTATCTGTAAGATGTACATGTATATTCATGTGTAAAGTATGCGTCTAACATGTAATGTGACCGAATATGTTCAATGTGTACATGTATGTTTAAAGTGCAGGGGTAGTTGCCACATGTACATGTATTTGTACCATGCGTGTGTATGTGTGTATATAAGGTTAATGTGTGTGCATAATATTTACATGTATGTGTATAATTAACATGTACATGTATGTGTCATATGCACGGATAATACATTAAAAGTGTACGTTTTAAGTGTACATATATGTTCATTCTCACACGGACGTACATGTGCACTATGTATGTGTGAATGTGTAATATGCCCGTGCATGTAACTGCAAACATGTCCATGTATGCAATTACATGCACGGGCATATTACACAATGTAACATGTACGTGTATGCGTATGTGTAATATGTTCTTACGTGTAAAATGTAAATGTTTACGTAACATATTACATATAGGCATATAGGTGTAGCGTGTACGAATGTTTATTGTCCTGTATTACCATGAATACAATCTTAATATTCTAATATCAAATTCTGAACTCCGGGTTCTGGTTAGCTTTGCGAGTAGCAAGACTAATGCCCGTAAGTTCCAATTAACATTTGCTTCTTGGGTTTTCGGGTCAAATGATGAACTCAATTATCCATACATTTACATTGCACTCCGAACATATATGAGGCGTCGCCTGCAGTAGTGTGACCAAGGGCCATCCTCCTAAAAGTGGAGATAATCACGGAGCTCCCAAAAGTCTGTTCTATATGGTTGTTAGGAAAATGAAGTTGAAAATTGATATAGATTTTCGACCTCCTTGGCCAAGTTTTTTTTTTTTTTTTTTTTTTTTTTTTTTTGGGGGGGGCAATGTATTGGTGCAACAGTATACTCATCAACCATTTCTTGCGAGGACCGCGTGCATGAGTTTGCCTGTGTGCCAATCTGTCATTCTCGTCATTGTTATTCTTATTATTATTATTTGTTATTCTTCCTATTATTATTTGTTATACTTCCTATTATTATTTGTTATTCTTCCTATTATTATTTGTTATTCTTCCTATTATTATTTGTTATTCTTCCTATCATTATTTGAGGTCTTGTTTGTAAGAAGCAACTGCTCTTCAACTGCAATATCAACAATGCAAATGCACTACACTGCATCACTGTGGTACGTTAAGCGTTATCAACTTTAACGATCGCCTTTTTCATCAACTAAATTCGAAATGCCTAAAGAAATATATAACTCATTTACGTTAAACTGAGAAATTACTTACCTTGATTTTCAAATTAATTCTCAAACACTGCATACTATGAACACTCCTCATACTTGAAACTTAATAATATGGGAACATTTAACAAGAATAAGCTGGAAGTTTAACCATTCACTTTTTTATACCTCGACTCTTCGCTCTGACAAAATCCCATACAGCTCAACGTTAATCTTATTTCTCGTCCGGCACTATCGAACCTCAGGTTTCGTGTTAATTTTGGTGTGACGTATAACGAAGTACCGGCTCTGGCTAGTTACTTTATTGCATATGCATGAACACGTACTCTCACACAAGAAACTTTTACTAATGATCTGCACAGCAGCGCTGACCTTCGTTTCTCTCTCAAAACAATGTGTGGTTAATATTAAGCTTCTCAGTGTTCGTGCTGACAAAGCTCTAACAATATTCATCGACTCATTTCTTTGAGGATTCGGTGAGCAGCACATCATATTGTTGTCTGCAATCTCTTTTTTTTCTGTGACAGTGAAGTCATCTCGGTTGATTAAAACTTCTTTCTTGTTTCTTCAAACCAACAAAATTTCAAATAAAAACAAACCGAATCCAAAATATTAACCTTTGCTTGTTAAAATAGAGACCGTTACAGAGTTCAAAACGTCTAACCCAAATGTAACCTGTATATAAGGACCAGTTCCACGTCATGCAACCCATATTTGGAAGTAGGCAGAGGTGTCACGACAAAGGAATGGAAGGAGAGCGATGGAAGTGAAAGTAACAGTGTGTTCAAGAAAAGCGTAACACAGATGAAAAATATGACTTAATGGCAATACCAGTTTCTTGCGAACAGGAAAACGGTGGCAATTATCATGTATGTGAAGCTTCCAAGGTCGACGTATAAATGAAGAAACCAACACAAAGATGGTAATGATGATGAAAGTGAGTATGAAGAAATACACTTACACTGAATATTATAAAGACGGCAAATCATAAAACAAAAGGGAGTACAATCTATAATTCTAATAACGATAATGCGTGTAGACGCATAAAAAACGAAATACGAAAATCAAAAAGTTGTAATGGAGACATTTTACGACACAGTACACAACTATTCAAGCCAACCGAGTGACATCACCTGTGAGAAAATTCTTGAAGTAATGTCATGCGTGGATGACAGGAACGACTGCCTTAACACGACATAGAACCGAAAAGGTAAGAACCCGAATGAAGATTTTACACGACAATGAAACGAAATTAAATGAGACATACCGTCGATACGGTCCGTTCAACTCGCTCTTTCAATCTTGTTTCCTCGGCAGTATGTCGTTGGAAAGTGAAACAACAAACTTCAGCTGCCTTTCCCTTCACACACATGTTCAAAATAAAGTGCACAGTCGCTCTCTCTCTGCTCTTGCTTGTCTATTTGTTTCTTTTATCTTACTTTATTTTCCTTCTTCCCCTTACTGGCCACTCTCTCTCCTCTATTTTTCTCTCCCTCCTCTCTCGCCACCTCTCCTCTCTCTACCTCACGTCCCCCTCTCCACCTCTCCTCTCTCCACCTCATGTCCCCCACTCCATGTCCCCCTCTCCATGCCCCCCTCTCCATGCCCCCTTCTCCACATCTCCCTCTCCATATCTTCATCCCCTCGTCCCCCTCTCCACGCCCCCCTTGCCACCTGCCTCTCTCCTCTTTCTCTCCTCTCTTTCTCTCCGCTCTTTCTCTCCGCTCTTTCTCTCCGCTCTCTCTCTTCCCCTCTCTCTCTTCCCCTCTCTCTCTTCCCCTCTCTCTCTTCCCCTCTCTCTCTTCCTCTCTCTCTCTTCCCCTCTCTCTCTTCCCCTCTCTCTCTTCCCCTCTCTCTCTTCCCCTCTCTCTCTTCCCCTCTCTCTCTTCCCCTCTCTCTCTTCCCCTCTCTCTCCTTCTCCCTCTCCCCATCTCTCCGTCACTTATTCCCACCGCCTCACACACTCCCTCCGTCCCTCCCTCTCCCCACCCCGCTGTAATTCTCACAACTGTAGGTCATTGCACCGTACATATGTCATTCTTCCCATCTCTCTCTCTCTGCCAACCTTCTATATTCACATTACAGCCAGACAGATATATCTATGCACATATTCATATGCATATATACAAGTATACCTACAATTATAAACATGCATTTAGCGTAAGTGCGTGCGTAAGTGCGTGTGAATATCAACAAAGCAATGATATTTGACCCTCGGAATCCCAGCAGAAAACGTGTCCTTTCACCTGCCTCTGCCAATTGCTTCTTCAAAGGCCTCATAATAACGGCAGTCTTTGGGGGCTCCCAATTTTCTGCAATTACTCTGGATCACTACTTATGATTTGGATTTCGCCGACCTTGTACGGAAATGGATCGTGACCCAAAGGTTAGGAATGAAATTAAGACATAATGAGTGTGACATCTTAATATACTTTCTATTATGTGTATAAACACATAAACACACACAAATATATATACATAAAAATATATATGTATATATGTATATATATATAAATAAAATTTATAAACACACACGTGTGTGCATGCAAATATATATTATATATTTCAGCTTTCAGCGAATGACTATGAAAACATCTCCGGTAGAAGGAAAATGTGAACCACGAAAAACAAATGACGTCAAACGTAGGAGGAAATTTCACAGATAAAAACGACTAATCTTTCTATATACGCCAAGCTTGTGAGCCCATCATGGGCATTTTTCATAATTTTTTGTGGGAAAAAAAACGCAAGCACGCCATTTGTAAGTGTACTCGAGAGAATCTATAGGTCGATCTGCCTCTACAAATGCGTAAATACCAATCTATATATCTATATATATCCACATATACCATAATGCATACACATATATACGCATATATATGCATACATATACGTATATATACGCATATATATACATAGATATACGCATATATATACATAGATATACGCATATATATACATAGATATACGCATATATATACATAGATATACGCATATATATCCATATATATACGCATATATATATACACATATATATACATATATATACACATATATATACACATATATATACACATATATATACACATATATATACACATATATACACATATATATACACATATATACACATATATATACATATATATACGCATATATACGCATATATATGTATATATATATATATATATATGCATATATATACGCATATATATATATACATATATATACGCATATATATGTATATATATACGCATATATATGTATATATATGCATATATATACGCATATATATGTATATATATGCATATATATACGCATATATATATATATATATATATATATATATATATATATATATATATATATATATATATACGCATATATATATATATACGCATATATATATATATATATATATATATATATATATATATATATATATATATATATATATATATATATATATATATATACATATATATACGCATATATATATATATATATATATATATATATATATATATATATATATATACACATATATATACGCATATATATATATATACATATATATACGCATATATATATATATACATATATATACGCATATATATATATATACATATATATACGCATATATATATATATACATATATATACGCATATATATATATATACATATATATACGCATATATATATATATACATATATATACGCATATATATATATATATATATATATATATATATATATATATATATATATATATACATATATATACGCATATATATATATATACATATATATACGCATATATATATATATATATATATATATATATATATACACATATATATACGCATATATATATATATATATATATACATATATATACGCATATATATATATATACACATATATATACGCATATATATATATATACATATATATACGCATATATATATATATACATATATATACGCATATATATATATATATATATATATATATATATATATATATATATATATATATATATATACATATATATACGCATATATATATATATATATATATATATATATATATATACATATATATACGCATATATATATATATATATATATATATACATATATATACGCATATATATATATATATATATATACATATATATACGCATATATATATATATATATATATATATATATATATATATATATATATATATATATATATACATATATATATACGCATATATATACGCATATATATATATATATATATATATATATATATATATATATATATATACATATATATATACGCATATATATATAATATATATATATATATATATATACATATATATATACGCATATATATACGCATATATATATATATATATATATATATATATATATATATATATACATATATATATACATATATATATACATATATATATACATATATATATACATATATATATACATATATATATACATATATATATACATATATATATACATATATATATACATATATATATACATATATATATATATATATATATATATATATATATATATATATACATATATATACGCATATATATATATATATATATATATATATATATACACCCTTCTCCACATCTCCCTCTCCATATCTTCATCCCCTCGTCCCCCTCTCCACGCCCCCCTTGCCACCTGCCTCTCTCCTCTTTCTCTCCTCTCTTTCTCTCCGCTCTTTCTCTCCGCTCTTTCTCTCCGCTCTCTCTCTTCCCCTCTCTCTCTTCCCCTCTCTCTCTTCCCCTCTCTCTCTTCCCCTCTCTCTCTTCCCCTCTCTCTCTTCCTCTCTCTCTCTTCCCCTCTCTCTCTTCCCCTCTCTCTCTTCCCCTCTCTCTCTTCCCCTCTCTCTCTTCCCCTCTCTCTCTTCCCCTCTCTCTCTTCCCCTCTCTCTCCTTCTCCCTCTCCCCATCTCTCCGTCACTTATTCCCACCGCCTCACACACTCCCTCCGTCCCTCCCTCTCCCCACCCCGCTGTAATTCTCACAACTGTAGGTCATTGCACCGTACATATGTCATTCTTCCCATCTCTCTCTCTCTGCCAACCTTCTATATTCACATTACAGCCAGACAGATATATCTATGCACATATTCATATGCATATATACAAGTATACCTACAATTATAAACATGCATTTAGCGTAAGTGCGTGCGTAAGTGCGTGTGAATATCAACAAAGCAATGATATTTGACCCTCGGAATCCCAGCAGAAAACGTGTCCTTTCACCTGCCTCTGCCAATTGCTTCTTCAAAGGCCTCATAATAACGGCAGTCTTTGGGGGCTCCCAATTTTCTGCAATTACTCTGGATCACTACTTATGATTTGGATTTCGCCGACCTTGTACGGAAATGGATCGTGACCCAAAGGTTAGGAATGAAATTAAGACATAATGAGTGTGACATCTTAATATACTTTCTATTATGTGTATAAACACATAAACACACACAAATATATATACATAAAAATATATATGTATATATGTATATATATATAAATAAAATTTATAAACACACACGTGTGTGCATGCAAATATATATTATATATTTCAGCTTTCAGCGAATGACTATGAAAACATCTCCGGTAGAAGGAAAATGTGAACCACGAAAAACAAATGACGTCAAACGTAGGAGGAAATTTCACAGATAAAAACGACTAATCTTTCTATATACGCCAAGCTTGTGAGCCCATCATGGGCATTTTTCATAATTTTTTGTGGGAAAAAAAAACGCAAGCACGCCATTTGTAAGTGTACTCGAGAGAATCTATAGGTCGATCTGCCTCTACAAATGCGTAAATACCAATCTATATATCTATATATATCCACATATACCATAATGCATACACATATATACGCATATATATGCATACATATACGTATATATACGCATATATATACATAGATATACGCATATATATACATAGATATACGCATATATATACATAGATATACGCATATATATACATAGATATACGCATATATATCCATATATATACGCATATATATATACACATATATATACATATATATACACATATATATACACATATATATACACATATATATACACATATATATACACATATATACACATATATATACACATATATACACATATATATACATATATATACGCATATATACGCATATATGTGTATATATATATATATATATGCATATATATACGCATATATATATATACATATATATACGCATATATATGTATATATATACGCATATATATGTATATATATGCATATATATACGCATATATATGTATATATATGCATATATATACGCATATATATATATATATATATATATATATATATATATATATATATATATACGCATATATATATATATATATATATATATATATATATATATATATATATATATATATACGC